CAATAAAACTAAATATATTCGCTCAAAAATATTTGTTTACAACGCTTTATTCACGAAGCCCCATAATGATTGATATCATCACCGATGCTTCCATTAATTAGTAAATAAGGCAAACAAATCAATTTGAAACAAAGTTGCTATCTTCCCAGTAGGTTAGTGATTTGCGAAGCACGGATGACAGTCTTTTACACTTCAAGGAGGGAGGTATTCTCGAGAATCTAGCCATTCACAATATTCGCGAGGCATTCGCTAATAATGCTATTCCTAATTTCTGACATCATATCTAAGTTCTCTTTAGTTTTCTCTTACTCGTGATGTTAAGACTCTGATACTGAGCAAGTAACTGGTAATAAAAGTTTCCATTTTTACATTGCAAGTAAACGCAAATAATCATTTAAAGAACTCGCCAGGGCCTACGTTAGAAGAGCTCATTAATTTACAACCCATAGCCCGTTCATGCCCAGGAATTCTTTATCTAAGGTCAAAATAATCATCAAAGGCGGGAGAAAAAGATTACTATTATTGTGGTCTCGCTAGAGTACAACTTCAATTTACACGGAGGGAAATCATATAAAACTGGCAATAAAACCACAATAATTTAATAATTAGGCTCTCAATAATTAGAAGGGTTAATAACTCGAAGCCGGAATTAGCGAGCCCCGCAAACCAGCAAGCTTTATTGGAGCTATGTTAGCACATGGGAGACGCTGCGGTTATGAAGTGCCATCATCAAAAGAAGCGATAGCGAAGCCTAAGGGCAGTATACCCTCGCCCGCCTAACGCAATTTCTCGCCAATTCCCGTTCCGTAATTCCTCATCAGCGGCATAATTTGGACCAGCAATTCCCAGTGGTCATTCTAGGCCAGTCATTTCACGCGTCATTGCATTCTGACTTCGGATTGTTTTAGCTCGTCGGGGTACGCTATGCCATCTATTCTTCCTACTTTTGCCAACAGGTTATCAATCAATCATTTTTTATTCATTGTTATATAACTAAACATTTCGAACTCATTGAGCTCGTATAGGTAAGAATGGAAACTGGAAGATAAGATCGAAAATATCGCGGAAAAAATCCCCCCCCCCCGATACAGCCTTAAGAAATCCATTACTTTCAAATTAACGTAGTAAAACATGATAATGATTTATAAGCTCTGGCTAAACTACAAAAAGCTCGAACCCTCACAGTTGGTTTTTGAGTTCACAAATGCTGCTATTTGACCCGCATGATAAAGCTCTTCAGGCATCAGCTCATGAGATATGATGCTTCCAGCTCAAGGAAAGCTGTTCGAGTTTAACACGAGTTCATACTTGCAGCTGACTTTAGGTTGTTCGAGATTGACAACAGTCGACAGCAATACTTAACGATAACCTCGTCAGCCGGCTTGAGTTTTACAGTGGCTGACACCAATAGTTCACGCAGCCTCAGACTGGCGTTACTCGAGCAGCCAATTCTCGGAAGTCAGCTTAAAGTGCGCCAAAAAATCGAATTAGGCAGCTGTCCCGGACACAGAAGTGCCGCGGAGTTTCCCGTCCAACAAGAAGAACCGACAATACTGACACTAGAAAAAGAGTTCTTCTTCGTCAGCCGCTTGCTATATGCGCCGCCAACAGGAATGCTACAAGCAATGGGTCTCTCAACATGGTGAAGAGAATTATTTGGCAAAATATTGGTTGAAAGTACAAATCAACATGGTGAAGAGAACCATTTGGTAAAGGATTAGTTAACGGTACAAAATATTAACACGTGCGGCGTAAAGAAGCGTTACATTTCAAATCATTTACATCGAATCATCTAGTCCAGAAAAATGCAGATTGTGAAATTATTTTGAGTGAGACACGTTAATTTTGATATTTTCATTAATTTCTAACCCTGCCCGTTAGACACAACTTGGAAAACTGGAGAATTACTGTGCCACGTCTGTTGATTAACCATCTCTAATATGTTTCGGGAACAAACAAAGCAAAATGCGCTAGTTTAACTTTGCATCATAATTAAAGAGCCTAAATGACTACGTATCTCAGCATCTAAAAACAACAAAAAATTTCACTCTATGTATCAATAACAAAGAATATACTGTAAAAAATTCCCACACATTCTGTACTAAGAGATCATTGAGTCATCGTACATCAGATCTGCAGTCATCTTGATCAAGTGAAACAATAACACTTGGGGAAAAAGAATCACTGAATCAACCATGAGGGTTTGAAAATGACGATCAAATTGTGTATTTGTTTATAACAGTAACTTCCCGATTAGAATTCGTATTCGATCGCCACGTGCCATCTTATTTTAACGAAAGGGTGAAGGAATCAATATTATTAACTTCACCTAAAAATTAGGCCATTCCTCAAAATCACGTAGAAACTTAGAAGTGAAATTTTGCTCATATGCGAATATATTTTTACAACTGAAAACATGGGAAGCTAATTTGAACCGGGAAATAATAGTGTTTTACTTTCGTTAGATGCTTATATATTATTTAATAATGTTATGAGAAAAGTTCCCCATTAGACGAAGCTATTCTGAGCCGGGTTGTGGAGTAGAGTAACGTTATCAAAACTTCCATCGATTAGGCTTTTTAGCACCTCGAAATAATCCTAACAATACAAACTTATGCCATCATTGGCTTCGCGGAACAAAATAGATTCTAGCTTCAATTTAGAATACATTGAAAATCCTGAGTAAGAACGAATATATAATAAAATAAGAGCGAATATATTGGACGTACACATTTAAATGTAATTTGAATCGCGGGTCAACACAAAATCCTGCAAAAAGTTTAATAAACCACTGGACGCGTGTTAGCAAAATGAATGAAAATAAGTATTATCGAATCAACGCAGATTTCCGTATTTTTTTAATTCATTAAGAAAGCCCAAAACCATCCAAAACCGGGCAAATAAACACGATTTGAGCTCCGCTAATTGTTCAAGCCTCGGAAGTTTTAGTTTTTTATACTCATGGAATCTATGTGCAGGTACTCGGAGAACTTAGCTTATCAGAGAGCCTAATTACTCTAATAAACTTAGCGTACTTTCAAACTTTATAACGCAATTACGGGGGCTCCTGAACTGCGAGAAGGAATAAGCTTAAGCGCACGTATGTACAGCGAAGCACGGATTTAAGGTTATTACGTGGAGGTGCAAGTCTCCCAGCGGGATCCTTTGATTCGTTCCGCAATGTTCACGATAAATATACACGAGAACGCTTAATTACTGCAGCCTGAAAAACGAGCTTCTATAAATATGACGACCTGAAAAATAGTCATTGTTCGCGGTGCTAAGTCGATTTAGTTAGCGCCATAAACAATGGAGTCGGAAGCTATGATTTTAATGGAACGCTGAAGTGTTCTGAACCATGAAAGCAATGCATCACAATTACTTTTGTTATTCCGAGACGCTTAACTACTTAAAAGAACTGAAATTTAAGGAGGAACTTAGTGTATTGTACGGGTTGGATTACCAAGTTGTAGACATTTTTAAAATTCAATCTGCGTATAGAAAATGAATTTGACACCTATGTAGCTACAAGCATAGTGATAAATTAAATTTATTAATTATTAGATGTTTAAGGAAAATGCAAATACGTGTCATAAAATGTACCTGAAAGATTATTCAGGTTATACTGAAAATAAATTAAGGCCGATTAGCAATATTGGTGAGTAATTAAACATTTAAAAATCAAGATGAAATATTTTTTATTTGATATTTTTGAAACTGTTTGTAGCCAAATTATCGAATTTGATGGGAAATACGTCGATAAAATACCCGTTACTGATCAATATCAAATTCCAATATTCGGCCAGAAAGAACTCGTTAATCAAAACAATTTACTTAATAATACTTACTTAATAAAAAGAGAGTTAAACTAGAAAAATACATTGAACCTGCGATTACATGCACGACTGTAGCTATGAAAAACTGTCTCGTACGGCATAATTGTGAATTGCAGCTCCACTTCAAAAAATCATGAATCGCACTGATAAAGAAAAGATTACGACCACGGTGCGAAAAAATAAGTTGCGTAAAAACTCGTGTTTGGGTTGAGCAAAAAATGTTGAGGATGAGCCAAGATGATACTAATGTTGTGTGCGGGTGAAGGAACGTAATCGAACACCAGTAATGGGGCCATATGTTGCAGAGAAGCGATTCTGCGGCAGCTCATGGTTTTCTTATGAGCGAGTTTGGCCCTTATCATACGCACAGTTCTGTATTAGTTGCGCTTTACGCTCTAAACGGCAGCTGAATCCCAATGATGACGCTGAGGAGAACAACCAAGACTACTTCTTGTGGTTGGCACAGCGCATTTGTAGGCGATTTGGCGAACGCAACACAGCGCCCTTATGGGAAATCTTTGTATGAAAAGTGCAGCTGTGGCACAAAACTGTTGTAAAGTAGTTAAAAAACAGATGTATTTGAAACTGGAAAGAAGAATGTCACGAATGAGCAACGTTGAAGGAAACGAATCTAGTCTTCAAACGATTTGTAAGAAATTTACGGAGATCACATTAAGTAATTGGGAAGGCTCCTGTACGTCGCTAAGTAGACAGGTAAATCCTTCTCCTTGATGAACGAGGAAACGTGCGAACTCCTGAAGGATTCTACAAGTGACGTGTAGAAATAAAAAAATAAGCATGAACACGTTCAACATATCAGTATTTTGTAAGTCAGTAATAACAATTACTTTTAACACAAACGTCGCACGAGTAAACTTACCATTGAAGGCGTGATGTAAGCTCATATTAAAGGCAGATTGGAAATATGTTGCATTGTACAAATAATTCACCATACGATCTATACAGACGACTTTTCACCATCACTTAGGAAGCGTCTGGTAAATTTTCTTTTTAAATTTGATAGACGACCAATTAATAAATAGCAACACGTTCAAACAGGTCTTCAACAAGCATAATCAGTTAATAGCTTCGCAATCTATAGGCAAAGATAAAACCTTTTTTTTTTAATGTTAACTAATCACGAGTATAACACTTATCACTGACCTTCCCTGAGAGTGATGATGCAGTAGCTCTCCTGGCTAGGTTTGCTCTGCCCCATGGCGTTGACGGCAACAAGACGGAACTGGTAGACGGTTAACTAGTCACAACACTTTTCACTGACCTTCCCGTAGGGTGATGATGCAGTAGCTCTCCTGGCTAGGTTTGCTCTGCCCCATGGCGTTGACAGCCACAAGACGGAACTGGTAGACGGTTAACTAGTCACAACACTAATCACTAACCTTCCCGTAGGGTGATGATACAGTAGCTCTCCTGGCTAGGTTTGCTCTGCCCCATGGCGTTGACGGCCACAAGACGGAACTGGTAGACGGTGTAGGGCTGCAGCTCCTCAACCGTCGCCCGAGTCTCGTTGCCGGTCGTCGCGCGTCCGTTATGCACGTCCCACTGACTCACGCCCTCGCACATCCTGCGCAGGTATATAACGTCGTTAAATTACAAAAATTTATATGTCCAATTGGACGAATAAGCTTCATACATAAACGAAAAACGCCATTTTAAATGACTAAACAGCTAAAAAGGCTGTACAGCTAAACGCTAGAGGGCTAGTGTGCTGCGGCCGGTATTAATAATATTAAGTCTAATCAAGTTATCTCAGTGGCAGGCCAACATAGCCTAACCAGCGTTAACACCACCATATTAAATTATATTATATTAGATATTTTTAATTAGATTATATTATATAATTATTATAAGGCTACGTTAGAAGCTCCTGGAACAAGTATGCAGGGTCTGAAACAAATAGCGTGAAGCGAAATAAAGAAGGTAAAGACGTATAACAGAAGCCAATTTATTTAGATCAAAAGAAAGAGAAAATAAATGTATAATATCAATAAAATGAAGAAAGTAAAATGATGTAGCAATGGAAGCGTAGTAGAATAAGAAAAGAAAGAAAGAGAATCATGAGGATGAAGTAAAATGAATACATCATGACGAAATTAGGAGCCCAGGGTAGGTAAAGTAATCAATATTGGTGCAGTGATTTTAGGTTACGAAACCCGCCACTAATTTGGAAAATTCCGGTTGAAATCGGCAGGGTAGCAGAGTGATTATGAAGCAACGACAAGCCAATACGACATACTGAAAGCTAACACGGTAGTATAACATTATTATCCATTAAATGAATGTATTATATGTTTCAGCCGAGAAAAGAGCTACATAAATTCAGGCCTTCACAAATAACGATGTTAAACACCAACAAATCACAACATAACACCTACGAGGTTATGATAATCTAAGCCAAATAAATGAGTCGTCTCAATTATGTAGTATACTCAATTGGGAGGGTTGAGGGACGCAGACCTATTGTGAGGAACTTTCAGCAACTTTCGTTCCATAAGCAACTTTGCTCGGCTGTTACGGTCACCGAGAACACGGGATAGCAGCGAAGATCGAAGCTTTGGCGGCAGGAAACCTCAATACATTGAAATCGAGAACTTCTAAGCAAGTAACTATGTAGCATTCAGGTACATGACATCATTTTAGGAGCCGTACTATCAAATTAGTTACGAGTTTGTAACTCCGTCTGCTAATAACTGACGGCTTTTCATGCTAAATTCACCAATCACCGATGGAGAAATCGGCCGCTACGTGTACTAAGGTGAGTTGTGATTGTACGGCTCCCGGAATATGCGAGGTCATGAGCGGTAGGTTGAACACGATGATGTACACGAAGTGTGCACAGCAAGCTAGATGCGCACAATGCGCACAATCTACCCTGAAAATTTCTACCACAATCTACCCCTGTTCATACTACGCAAAAATGAAACTGTTATACGTATATAAGCATTTGATATTATTTTGATTTTAAGTTTCGCATTCAGACATATAGTTTTTTATTCAGTATTATGAAAACAAATTAGAAAAAAATTAGGTGTTAAAAACAAAGTAATATTTATTTCAGATTAAACGCTTGAATTTTACTCTAAGTATTCAATATTTGCCATCACACCGGTGCTAATTTGACACAGTCAAGCACAATTTAAAATATGTTTATATTCGGATGGATGGGTGATTGATAATACGATTACGAGGTCCAAGCACTTCGTTGACCAATCTTGCTCCACGTAAAATCCATATCAGACATCTAACAATGTATATTTATGATCATAATGATAACAATGGTTGAATGATCGACCGAAGGCTAGTGTATGAGGCTGGAGTATCAAGGATACGTAGAAGCGGGTCGCATGAAGTACGGCCATGAGAGGAGGATGGCGCGCCGTAAGTTAAGGTCCTTTGAGTAAAGCCCGCACTCGAGTAAATAATCTAAATAACGGCCGGTGTCGATAAAGTTCGATTCTATCGGCCTTATTCTGGTAATAAATACGACGAACCCGACACTTGAAACTGCGCCGCGGTTCGCTACCAGGCACCAGCAAGGCTTTGGCGTGGGCGATCCCACATTCAGCCTTACTACCCAGTTTCTGAAATTCAATTTTATATCCAATTCAAATTAAATATAAGAAGGCAGCGAATATAATTAATAATCGTTCACGCAATCCGTATTTAAGGTTCATCAATGTTTTAATAATTTTGAAGGAAAGAAATCTTTGACTCGATGTGTCTAGGCAGTTAGAAGTCTTCTTATAGAATACCTACACCCTTTGCATGATCTTTTTAAGTAGTGTTTAAGTGTTTTTGAGTAGTTTTAGTTTTAGAGAAAGAAATGTTGCACTCTTCACAAAGTGGAAAGTATTACTTTTAAAAGGTTGTCAGAAAAATTATTGAATAAAAATTTGCGGAAATCAAAGGGGTCGTAGGATACTGTCTATAATATCATTCAGTGTCTCTGATATAATCACGGAAACTTTATAATTGGAGTGGTAAAAAATTCATCAATAAATATAGTCTATTATAATAAAAACAAGAACTGTTGAAGGAGAGACGAGGAAGCAAAAAATTCACTTTATGGCACAATGAGAAATTCGCTGAAGGCTACAGAATTTCAACACGAGCTGTGATAAAAAAAAGGTAAATGATAATGAAGATGATGATAATTATGACGCAAATCTGGTAGAAGCAATAAGATGTTATGAAAAAAAATAACAGTGGAGAAATAGAAAAAAAAGAATACATTAGGAGTGAGAAAAAACCGCTTACAAATCTAAAAAGAAAGAATAAAAAGAAGATAAATGATGCAGAGAGCAAAAAAACAGGTCACGTTGCAATTTAAAAGAAGAAGAACGTTTAAAAAGTTGTAATTAGCGTGGTTACTTTACTCGTTGGTACATAGACAAGTCTTGCAAGTGCTCGCTCTAAAAAACATCGTTCCTCACAACTTTCCTGAACTTCGTTGCGTTTTTATCAGAAGTTTTTAACGCTGTAAAAGATGTCCTCTATTGATATCCGTTGGGTATCCATAAGTTGGAATTAATTTCCACACAACAAATAAAAACCCAATTTCAGAGATGTTGCACAATTCGAATGGAAATAATCATTTGATCGACTATAATTTGCTTAGCGATTTATCACGAGAGTTGCTTACATTTTTGATTTGAATGATTATTTTATTGGATTTTCTCTTTTTAGCGCATTTTCTCATTTATGGAAATAATGCCCTATTATGCTCGTCATGTCCGTCCATCTGTCTGTCTGTCTGTCCGTGACTTCACGCTTTCGTCGACGAGAAGATGCGCTCTCTGTCACTCACTGCTGTAAGTACTGAGTTATATTTTTTCACAGTAAGCTTGAACTTAATTTTCAATGGAAAGTCAAAGTCACTAAAGATTATAGCGTACTTTAATATAATAATTTAATAACTACTTTTCTTCGTTTGGATCAATTGCATTTCACTAAGTACTCTCAGACCCGCAATTAATAAGATTGAACCATAAATTCATTGCGCAGATATTTTTTCAGCAAAAATCACACTTAACATCATGTCGTCAGCAACGTAAATTCAGCAGGTTGGGAACCTTCATGGAGTCATAAATATCACGAAGCCAAAACTTAGGGCAGAGAAATCCCTTGGAAATATGGTTCTGGAGCAACCAAAGAGCCGACGATATCAGTGAGACAGAGGGAGACCTCAAGCAAAGCGACTTGCAAGGGACATCAGAATGGAATACGAAGCCCCAATGACCAAAGTTTGGCTGTAGCGCGAGCGCGAGTTGGTGCTTCATACCCACTCATGGAGAACAGAGAATAGATGTTCTCGACTGCGGGACCCGAGCTAATATAGAGCGCAAGTAATGACGCTAGCTGCCGGGACATTGCGCTATAGTCTTCCAAGTACAAGAAGAGACTTCAAGACGACGACTTAAATCGCACAGATATGATTATGCATTTGGTCAAGGAAAATATGGTTTGATGGAAACAAGGAATTGAGTTTTGGTTGCTAACAAATGTCAGAGTCCCTGTCAGCAATGTACTTCTACTAACAATACTATGGTACAACTACCTCCACCCACTTCTATGATTAAAAGGAGATGAAAAAAGAGAAAAAATGAGTATCAGAATGTCAAAAGTTATCTGGTACCAAATGATCGCACAACGAGGCTCGCTGTTGACACGAAACTTGAGTACATTGGAAATGACAAGCAAATGACACTTTCTTACATAGACGAATGAAGGTTGAAGTTTGATTGAGTGAATTGGGCGTAATTAGGAAATTTTCTTGGTCCTGAGATTATAATTAATTGTAACAGTTTTGTCAACAATGAGATAATAATGAGCAGGAAAAGACAGTCTAAAAGACTTCAACACATAAGTTGAAAACATGACTACAAACCTAATTTTGAAACTCAAGGAAAATTTAAATTCAGGTGTCATGAGGAATAAAACGCAGTCTTGAAAAAATATAACTCAGTACTCACTACAATGAGTGACAGAGAACATATTTTCTCGTCGACGAAAACGTGAAGTCACGGACAGACGGACATGACGAGCACAATAGCGCCTTTTTTCCATAAATGAGAAAATGCGCTTAAAAGAAACATCTCTTGAGGCTCCAACTCGCACCATGATACATTAACAAAGCTATTGTGGAACCTTAAAACAATTATATTAAATTGGTAGGAGTAATGTTCACAGCCAGCACGCATAAATACATCAATCGATTAGTGAATGAAGCAGCATAAGCGATGCGTTCCATTGATAGCCGCATGTATCTCGGGCAATGGACGGCAGCAGCATGCGCGATCGATCCGCGTTGGCTTGACGTCAACGTCTGAAAACAATGACAGAGAGACCCTTCCCTACCAAAGTCCTGCACTGAACCCACAAAGGCTTTTGAATTTCGCAGAGCTTAAGAAGTCAATCTAAGAAAGTGTGGGCTGCTCGAGAAGCAAGCCAGCCGAGTTAAAGCTCTCTATTTTTCTCTGTTCACAGGTTTTCGGATAAGTGACAAACGACACCAATTCTCCAGACCATAAGGCAGGATAAACCAGAGAGCTCTTAAGCTCCGGC